TATTGCAAGACTCTTCTTATATAGAACATATTGCTGAGAACATATAAGATAAACATTAATTTCAAAATTTACTTTTACTTTTGAGATTCTAATAGGTTTCAAATAGTACTAATTCAATTTTTTCAATTTTCTTTGGTCCTCTTTTTTCATTTCTTCAGTCAAGATAGCAAATTTCATGACTAGGCCTAGACCTACTTTGAGTTTGTTTATTGCTCATGCCTTCACAATGAAATATAAGCAAGCACTCAGCATAGAAATAAATGGTTGCAGTATAGCTACCCAGTGTCTAGGTTTTACTTTTTTTGACACAATTATATGTTTCATAGGAAAATAACATTGGAAAAAAATTTGATAATATTATGATTCAATTATAATAATATTTATAGATATATTATAAGAATATAAAATATACCTGAAAATAAACTAGAAAGCAGTCCAGCTTCTTCTTAGTGCTTCCACGGTCAAAGAACTGACCACACGTGTCCAGTAATGTACATACAAGTCGGATACGAAACAAGTGTTCTGGTGGGTCAAATTGTGTAGGAGTACCTATATAAAATAAAGCATCATAGTAGAAAATGACAGTAAACAGCACTGCATATTATAACTTGTAGCTAACATGCATTTCCACCAGTCTAACAATCTGTTGTTATATACTCAGCAAAAAAGCACATTTTACATGGTAGCTAGCATGTATATCTACAAGTTTTGCAATCTATCACTATATTTGGCATGACAGCCAATCACAGAAAAGAGTTCAATTTTAAACAACAATTTGATTATCAGCCAATCAAAAAATGATATTTTATATGGCCTAACAAGAAACATACTAATGTGTTATTGCTGTACTGGCTGCTAGCTGGGAATGCAATGAAACACAAGCTATTAGAGCAAGGTCAGTGTTCTAGTGGTATAATAATTAGTTTAATAGTAAATCTGGAAGTTGTCCAAGATATTAACCCTCTAGATACCGTCTTCGACTGTAGTCAAAATTGACCTCAAACCGAGAATTCCCATTTTCGACTGCAATCGAAATTTCGTGACTAAAAAATAGGTGGTTTTCAAATCGCTCTTCTGTTTTTATTTTAGCTCCAATACGTCAGAAATTTCGAACACGCATGCGTGAAGCTTTTGTTTTTCGAAATCTGTGAAGAACTCACATGCGCTTATATAAAAATTTTTAGAAATATCAATTTGAAATCGTTATTAATTTCAAAAATTTTTCGAAATGGCCGCACAAGATGTGTACAGAGCTGAGCAAGCGATTGACCTGATTTTTGATTCAGACAGCGATGAAGGTGAATTTTTAGATGTGCGAGACTTAGACGTGCCTGTTAGCGATGATGACTTCAAGCGATGATGGGGCTTCAAGCAGTTCTGACGGCGGAGATATTCTTGATGAAGATGAGCCTAGGCCTAGAAATGTGAGGGTAGTCGAAGCCTTTGAATGGAAAGATCGCGCTTATAGTTAAGGATGGTTGGGTAAATACATTATATAACTGTGTGGAATAGGAATGTTTTATATTTGTTTTTATTTTTTTTGGCTATAATTTATTTTTTTTTCGGTTTTTGCTGACGATTTATATGTAGCATTTTTCTGTAAATTCTATAATATTATATATATATTATATTATATTATATTATGAAAAAAAATTCCCAAAAATATAAATTATACATCAAATGAAAGCTTATTCTATAAGCTTTCTTTGTTTTTGAAACATTTTTCTATAAAACATTTTTCTGTATAATTTACAGAAAGTTCCCAAAAATCAACCAGAACGACGTATACTCAAAAAAAGCAAAAAACCTTGTTACACTGCAAAAGAATCCGGTATTCAAGGGTTTGCACTACAAAAGAATACGGTATCTAGAGGGTTAACTCAACTTCATCCTTAAAGTCAGGCTCCGGAGAAAAAAAATTTGTTGATATGTTGTAGAACTGATTTTTCTAAGACAAAAAAAAAAAATTTGTTTGACGAAAAACTGGGGAACGGTGAATGAGATACAGATTTTTTAATATTTAAAAACTGGGGGGAAAAGGGGCGTAACTGCCCATTTTTACACCTTATTCCCCCAGTTTTTAAATATTAAAAAATCTGTATCTCATTCACCGTTCCCCAGTTTTTCGTCAAACAACTTTTTTCTATCTTAGAAAAATCATTTCTACAACATATCAAAAATGCTTTTTCCTCCGGAGCATGACTTTAAGCATTTGGGGATGCGCTGAGCATTTAGTGCAACATGTCAGATTGGAAAAAAAAAGGTATTAACAGAAAGACTATTAGCAATGTATGAAGGGATATACTAACCATCAAGTGAAATTCCAAATTTGATGAGAGTATAAAGAGTCTTGAAGACAACAGCA